CTTCCCTTCAAGGCTCAGGGGTCCAAGATTATCTTCTGTGTCTGTGTTAATTGGTTTCCCTTTTTTGTTGAAGAGGGTCTGTGCAGTCCTTCTGCCTGGTTCACCATCTGGCCTCTATCCTCAAATGTTGGAATTTTGATCCACCCAGAGATGGTGTGGAAGAAATGGCAGGCTATTTTCTGCTGAAAAATCATCTGTTTAAACCTCTGTGAAGCTCAGTTCTACTCTGACACCCATGGAGTCACCATGAGTTGGAGTGGACTCAGCAACTGTTAGTATGTGTGTGTATATGTTTGTATATTAGAGATAATTTGCAAGTTTCACTTGTTGACCCTCCCTCCAGCATATACAGGAAATTTTCTCTCCGCAGGTCACCCCTGGCTCCACTTGTGTTGTTTTTGGCCTGGGAGGAGTTGGCCTTGCGGTCATCACGGGCTGTAAGTCAGCTGGTGCATCCAGGATCATTGGAATTGACATCAACAAAGACAAATTTGAAAAGGCCATGGCTGTAGGAGCCACTGAGTGCATCAGCCCCAAGGACTACACCAAACCTATCAGTGAGGTGCTGTCAGAAATGACAGTCAACACTGTGGGGTACACTTTTGAAGTAATTGGGCATCTTGAAACCATGGTAAGAGTTAAGATTCAGGGAGCAACACAATTATCCAGGCTATTACATATGATCAAGGAGACACTCATTTCCTATGGCAATATTAACATTCAACTGTTGAAATAGCTGTGGTTGTTAGATACTGTCAAGTCTTTTCTGACTTGACATAGTGACCCTGTGTACAACAGAATGAACCACTTCCCAGTCCTGCTCCATTCTCACAATCATTGCCATGTTTGAGCCCGTTGTCACAGCCACTGTGTCAATTTATCTCATTGAGTGTCTTCCCCTTTTTTTTCTGACCATTGACTTTACCAAGCATGATGTCCTTCTCCAGGGACTGGTCTTTCTCACAATGTGACCAAAGTACAAGAGATGAAGTCTGGCCATTCTTGCTTCTATGGAGCATTCTGGCTGTACTCCCTCCAAGATAGATTTGTTTATTCTTCTAGCAGTCTATGAAAATACCTGTAACCCAGGCAAAAACTGGTTACCATCAAGCAATTTTGCGTGAAAAGTCAGAAGTTTAAGAGAAATTCTACCTGACTAATAATAAATTTATATCATTACTGTCATGTGAATTGAAGTCAAGGAAGTCAGTATATTTACTGAAATGTTATCTGCCTTGTATATGTGTATTTCATGGAAAATTTAATCTCATGTCTTGAACTTTAGCAAGCCAAGTAGTATCACTCATATCTCTAAGAGAGATAAGAAGGAGAGCCAAGGCAAAGGGACTATTATAAATGTGATATTCTCTTTTCTCAAATCCATGACCTATGCAACTTCTCACTCTTTATACCTGAGCTTTGTTATTCCTCATCTGAACTTAGAATGGGTGCCTTTGAATTTCTAAAACATGCCTTGATGTGGCAGCTAGAAACACTAGACCTCAGTTTAGATCTAAAATAGGTCTGGAGCTACCTGGAGTAGTAAGGAAATTTGAAAAATAGTAAAAGACAATTTTGCTCACAACTGAGCAGTAGATTAAATTCATTTTAAAGTTTTGGGTAACTGAATGTACCATCATTACCATAACCTTTTTATTTTGGTTACCTCTAGTTCCACTCTAACAGAAGACACCAGAAGTGGGTGGCTGGCTTTAACAAACAAACTGCATTCTCTTACAGTTTGGGAGGCTAGAAGAGCCAAGCTCTAGGGTCTGGGTGAAGTTCCCTTGACCTTGGGCTTCAGCTCTGCCTCTTGCTCTTGGCCCACTGGAGCTGGAGGTGTCTCTTCACTTAGGCACCTGCTGGCTGCTGACGTTGACAGACCCAAGGTGAACTAGTAAGATGGCACAGTCTCAAGATTACCAAATAACATGGCAGGCCACTGGTTTAAGTCCAGAAACAGTCCCAAGATGGGCAGTAAACATGACAGGCTGCTGAATGAAGACTCAGGTACATGCAGGGTCCAAGAAGGCCATAAGCTCATAGACTTTCTCAAGGCTTCTCTTTATATATTGGAAGCAGACCACACCCCTAAGGCAGCTACTTTGCTGCAGTGGATTCCACCATGGAGCTTATTATCAGTCTCATCATGGGGAATAAATATATCCAGCTATCCAGCCACTCAAAACCAGGCCCAGCCAAGTTGATACACAGCTTAACTATTATACCTTCCCTAGTATCACTTAGAATTATTCCATAGCAACAAACAGCATTCTGGGTTGCATGTTAATGGAGCCCATATGCAATATTGAGTATATTATTAGGGTTGATTTGATATTTAGATGATATTTTAATGAATACTAACCTCTGAAAAATATGAACATCTATTCCTATAGTCTAGCAAGCATTCAAGAAACAATGAATAAATAAATAAATAAGTGATGCCCAGAAAATGTAGTGTTAGTCTCAGTCTCTGCTAAGAGATACCACCAAGAAAAGGGATTCTTTTGTCCCGCATTTTAGTATTTGATTTAATTATCAAACTAAAGAAAAAGTTGGTTTATTATAGTTAATTCAATTTAATTTTGTTCAAATGACTTCCCATGGCTTATCTGAAGTGGTAATATTGTTTTAAAAATATTACAAGAATGAATTGCTTGCAGTGTTGGTCCATAGTACCCTGAAAATGTCACGAACACAGACCAAATTAATTATATTTCCTCTTTAAAGGGTAAGGGTATGTAGGAGTTTAATTAAGCACTAAAGCTGTGTTGAAATTTTATAAAGCAAATAAGACACAAAGATATGACTAGGTCATGAAGTTAAATCAAACCTTGGAAACTGAGCTAACTACTGGAACTGCCGCAGTATTTAGGTCCTTTTCGAGCCCAAGAGACATTATGAGAAATGTAAGAGATGAACTTTCTCCTTCATTTAAAACAGGTTGATGCCGGTGGGTTCCGGCAAGATGGCGGACTAGGCAGAAGGATTGCACAGACCCTCTTCAACAAAGAAAAGGGAAACCAATTAACACAGACACAGAAGAT